TAATTTAAACAAAGCAGATGCCTTTGAAGCATTAAAATAAAATTACCATTATCGTTAATATCTATACTAAGTGACATATAAATCCGAACACCCAGTTTAAATGGTTTTATTTTAATAAAATTTTGTATAAATACTTAATGAAGCATAATAAGTAAATGATAAAAATTTCAAAATGATTGCACTGCTTTAAAGCCCTTTGACCTTTAATAATGTGTGGATGCACCCTGATGTGCTACGCATTCTCCAACGCGCGTAGGCATGCTTCTGATCAGGTGGTCAATGTCCTCCTGTGGTATCTCATTCCAGGCAACCACCAACTCCTCTCGAAGTGCTTCTAGAGTCTGAGGAGGACGTTGCAAATTGAGCAATCTCCTACCCATCATATCCCACACGTGCTCAATTGGGGATAAGTCGGGAGATCTTGGTGGCCATGGTAACAATGTGTTGGATCTGCCAGGGTGTCAAGATAGGGTAAAAGATGGGGTTCTAGAACTTCGTGGATATAACGCTGCGCGTTCATGTTACCTCTGATGAAGATTAAAGGTGAACTGGAACCATAAGCTATAGCACCCCAAACCATAACTCCAACAGTGTGATGAACATGTTTTTCAACAAAAAACTGTGGATTCCTCCTTTCACCACGTCGCCTTCTAACCCTGGCACGACCATCGTGCATGCCTAAACAAAATCGAGACTCGTCACTAAAGACAATACTGTTCCATTCCTGATCCCAGAGTGACCGTTGTCTGCACCATTCAAGGCAATTACGTCGGTGTTCTCGAGTTAAAGGGAGGACCCAGTGTGGCCGGTATGAAAACAAGCCAAAACTTCTCATTCGTCGGTAAACACTTCGCATGCCAATAGGTCTTCCGTGTTCTGCAAATCATTCATTTGCAATGGACCTGGTAGTGGAGAAACGGTCCCTCAAAGCCAATAATATTAGGCAGCGATCTTCACGGTCTGTTGTTCTACGGCGGCATCCAGTGCCCCTTGCTCTTTGCGTACGGCCTTCTCGAAGCCATGCCTGACAACACCTAACCACAGTGTCTACACTTCTTTGCACTCTAACTGCAATTGCCCGAAAAGAAAGTCCAGCTTCCCGAAGTCCCACTATACGGCCCCTATCAAACTCACTAAGTTGACGAAATCGTACAGGTCTCCGTACTCTAGGCATCGTAACCGATCGTAAAGGATGTCAAGAACCAAAATCCGCCAACGTTGATTCTTTACTGCGGCTGAAATATTCATTTTTAGAGCGTTAGTGAATTAAAAAAAAGCAGTATAAAAACCGGAATGTCCAACTGATAAGGCTGAAAACTTTTTTCACTTGTTATTTACAGTAAGATAAATACATTCACCAACTTTTATTAAAATAAAACCATTTAAACTGGGTGTTCGGATTTATATGTCACTTAGTATATTACTCCATCATAGGCGAGGACAGAACTTCAAAAACTTCATTGAATTCAGCTTATTTGCAAAGAAGAAATACAGATTATAGTTTTCTGAAAGACAAACTTGGGATTGTGGCGTGGCTTAAATACTCAAATTGTCTTTTAATGTAATAATCTGACAAAAATTGCAAAATCACAAGACATGTGAAATTGAATGCCTCATTCAAAAATGCAAGAAAAAAATAGGAAAGTGTAACGTAGAAATATTTCTCTTTCTTCTTCGATAGGCAACCAATATATTCCACTCCTAGATTTGTTTGAGCGAGGAAAAAGTTGTATGCTGTGAGCTGCAACAAATGTTCATTGAATTGTGACATTTTTTCTCGCTGTTGCAAATACAACGTCTTATATCCCGGTATCAGGTCATTTGGGCACCCATGCTATAAAATGTGCAGTGTTATTCGACACACTTTCTAACCCTAGAAATATTGACACTGCTTTTTTAATTCCCCTATATAGCATAACTTTTAATGACTACCCAAAAGAAATGGTTTAATAAAAAAAAGGTTTCGACTGCCCCCTCGGCTACTATTGAGACAAAAAATATGTAACACTTCGGATTGATTTTATTTATTGTATATTCGTGCAAATACAGGATTATTCAAACGTGAACAGAACCGATGACATATCTACAATAACTGTGAACCGCTATCCACAAAATTATAAACAGGGGGATAATCTCATTTCTGATCAGAAAGTCATATCTAACACTTCTTTGGAATAAACTCTTACTTTTTAGATTTAATTGAAATGGCATTGTTGTACAATAATCTGTACCCCTTAGTAGGACCTCAGAAATATCTTAGACAGTTGGTGGTAATAACTAATAACTGCATTGTTGAATGATTTGCCATTTTTTGGAAACAACCTCAGTTTTTTAAATTCTAAGTGCAAATGTACCATTTTATTAGCGCATGTTAACCCTCTAGCATTCCTTAAGTAGTAAGACTCTATGAACATATGGAAACATACTCAGAACTAACGTGGTTCCTGGCAATCTGGCAATAATGTAATTGTAAACATATGATGAAAAATGACTAGTTGCGACGTTCAAAATTTAGTAGATATTGGTCGAGTAATTTCCATGATTTTCCAAAAACTTACAAGCTCTGCGAGGGTGATTATATCAAATAATACTACTGAATTCGAACTTAGAAAATTATTATTGATTCTACTAAATAATACATCCGGCAACATTTGCCGAAGATCGGTCCAATAATTCTGCACATACTTTGCATAACTTGTTGTCTTTTCCTGAAAATAGCAAATAGCAAAAAAAATAGATATTAAGGCAAATCTAAATCTATTTATAAATAAAGCTCGGCTTCATTAAAATTATACCGAAATGCCCTATGCACCACTTCACGGTAGCTGCATCAAAGTCACTTAGGCGTAACTTTTAATGGCTACTCATTAAAGAAATTCCATCTCAAGAGCATGTTTACCCAGAAAACATGTAAAGCACCAGTTACTTTGTAAATTAACGTCCTTGATCTGTGAAGCGGTTAGCGGAATTGACTAAACAGTTTATCTTTGCATTTCCTCTTGGGCAGTAATTAACACAGCGGACGACACAAATATCTTATGATAAATCCTTCCCACACAAGTTCATCTCACTGTTAAAAAATTTTACACATGTGTAAAGATAACGCAATTCCTCTGTTCGGAGTGACATAGATTCCTAAGATTTTCATAAGAGTTTACAGTTTACAGACAGAATTTAGATGTGACTACTATAGAGTGTGTCCTAGAAGAAGATGGTACTCTCTCGGATGCATAGAAAACAAAAAATAAGTCATTAGACAAATGGAACTCAACCGAGAACATTTTCGCGCTATAATTTATTACAACTTTCAGAGACAATTATCGCAACAAGAATGCTTTGCTGAGTTACTGTCTGTTTTCGGCAAAGAAGCGCCACATCAGTCGACAATTTCCCGTTGGTATGGAGAATTCAAACGTGGACGGGTGAGTCTTAGCGACGATCCTAGGGTGGGTGCACCAAAAACAACAGCCACTCAGGAAAACGTCAATGCTGTGCGCAATCTCACCATTGAAGATAGACATGTGACATATTGCGAGATTGAGGCGTCCTTGAAGATCTCAAGGACCTCAATTCAAAAAAATTTACATGACGAATTAGGAGTACGAAACTTAGTTTCTCGTTGGATACCCCACCTGTTGATTGAAGGGCAGAAAGCAACCAGGGTTAATTGGTGTCAAAAAATGCTTGATCGTTTCAATTCCGAAAACTCAAAAAATGTGTACAGCATTGTTAGTGATGATGAATCGTGGATTTACTGTTATAAACCAGAAAATAAACGACAGTCGTCTGTTTGGGTGTTCCAAGGTGAAGAAAAGGCAACAAAAGTCATCCGTCCTCGAAGTGTTTCGAAAAAGATGGTCGCGACATTTGTGTCAAAAGCCATCACCGAGCTTCGAAAAAGCAACCCCGAAAGAAGAATCATCCTCCACCAAGACAATGCAAGCTTGCACACAGCCCAAAAAACAAGGCAGTATTTAACGGAAGAGAACGTGGAATTATTGGACCATCCTCCATATAGTCCCGATCTAAGTCCTAGCGATTTCTTTACTTTCCCGAAAATTAAAAACAGACTGCGTGGTCAAAGGTTCCAGTCACCAGAAGAAGCAGTTGACGCATACAAAAATGCCGTTTTGGATCTGGCAATAATAAGTGCTTCGAAAATTGGTTCGAGCGTATGCAGATGTGTATTAATCTTCGTGGAGAATACTTCGAAAAACGATAAAGTTATTTAAAACTACCTACCGTGTTGTTTTATTTCGAGTTCCTATAAGTTTCTATAATGAAAATCGGTTTTTCTTAAATAACCCTTGACGGGCAGTGTGTCTTATCATCAGAAAAGAATAAACTTATCGAGATCGCCAGGTATGGATATTATCAATGCAATATTGCAAAAATTTTTAAATAATGGCTCAAAAATGACCTTTTTGAAGAGTCTGATCCTTGTATGCTTTTTTCTAGACATGCTGCTTTCGTCCGTCCGGCCACAGACAGCCAACCATGGATAGCTGTTTCGTGCTTTTGGCAACTCATCAGCATGGTCTAGGTTTTTAAAGCATAGCAACTATCCACTGTCTGAGGCATGAGGTCTTAGATCACGTTTTAAGGGCTAATGTGCGGAGAAATCTATGATATATGAAACATATCTAATATGTGCGTAGAATTGCCAAGGTTGGGAGCGTGTAAATATACTAACTTGAAAAAATTGAGATAGAGAGAGAAAACGGAAGTTTGAGTGATTTTTGTTTAATTATTTTCATTTTAGACCTTTTTCTCCGCCGCCACTGGACGATTTTCGAAAACTACAAAGCTTCGTCCTTAGCATAGTAGCAACGTTTTGTAAAAATTGATCCATATCCATATCAGAGCAGTACTTTCCCAGTTATAGGCAGTCCAAAGATTAGGGGACAGGCCGGAAAACAGACAGACCGACGGAAATACATATACAGGGACGTCCAAATTTCTCTAATCGCTTGAGTTCAATGTGTATGAGAGAGAAGCGTGAGAAGTGTGTATCAACACATGTTAGAAAGGGATAGAAGCCAGCTGAAGAGCGAAGGTTGTGTTACACCAGAAAATGTTCGCACAGACTCCTACAAAAGGTTAGGTTACTGACAAACCCAAGAAGGAGGTCTGTTCGAACATTCAATTTTTCATTTCGATTAGAATTATTTATTTCAATTTTGATGCGACTTAGTGTTTTAATTTATTTTAGAATTATGTTTGATTTCCACCGATGGTGGTAAAGTCAACACATCCTGAGTTATTGTTACATTTTTCGATAGCGAGCGCGGTCGGAAAATGTAGCAAATACCATTATGCAATTGCATTATGCAAAATCGCTCATATGGTATCATGGAGGCCAGTGGGCTTGGGAAGTAAAAGGATGAAAAATACTGTTATTACAAGACGCTTACCAAAAATGACTATAATGAGTTCATAGAGACTATCGTTATGTGCCTAGCCGTTATATAAGCGCCCTACCTACTTTTGTTTTATTGTTTTTATATTTATATATCGATAAAACTCAAAATTGCGTGACTTTTTCAAAATGACCGATTCAATAAAATTCTTGTATCCCCAAATGATAGATATGCAATATAAAATGAATACGTCGTTGAAAAATGGCAAATTTCCGGAAGTCCTTATCTGGATACCATTTATAACCACCATACATTCTCAAAACAAACTGGATGAAAATTCGGGTAATAATTCCGGAGATCAAACGCCGCTAAGAATAACGACAGGCAAATCAACTATCATCTAAACAAGTACCACACATTCTGTACAAAATAAATTTACAACTAAAATCTTTCTCGTAAAATTCGTTGACTTCCGCGATCTACAAAAGCCCAGTTTTAAGGTCGTTTTATACTGGCACATTTCGCCACATCTGTTTTAAAAATGAATTTTATAGTGAGTTGGAAATAGGTGATGATGTCATATCGACGGCATACATGTATGTGAAACCATATGTTCGTAAAATGATCGAAAATAGCGGTGGTCATAGCAGCGATTGTTTCTTAAGTGATGCATGGTCGAGCGATACAGGAAATTTAATCCCCCGTGCAAAAATAAGTTTATTTCTGACCTCGGTTCCTGGAAATTTGCAAAAGCGAGATATGTAAACACCTATGGGGCAAATGACACATTTGTCGAGGTGAAAAGTATAGTGAAAAATGATGGAGTCAAGCAGATTGACTCGGAAAATCCTGTGTAATGATAGAAAATAAGTATTTATTAAAAGCTCAAAGGTGACGAATATGAGAAAACAATTAAAAGCGACTGGAAATTTTGTGATACAGATATTCTTTGACAAACTGAGAAATAAATAAATATCTTCATTGCCATTTTACTTAAAAAGTATCAGCAAATTGTCAAGGATGAATGAGAAAAAAATACTTAAAATGTTGTGATCCAGTCAACACTAAATAAATTAAATAATACAAACATAATGTACACAAAATAACAACATAACAAATTAAAAAGGTATGAATAAATAACAAATTAATAAAAAAAGAAAGACGGACGAACAGATTGAAAAAAGGTTAAGAATAAATTGTGTTTGCAATAATACAATTCACCAGTCTCATTTTAAGTATTCTTCAATGCTGTAAAAAGGGTTTTCCGTAAATAGACTTTTAACTCGACGTTGGAAAACATTGAAATTGGTGACAGCCTTGATAACAATTGGCAACTTGTTGAACAATCTGATAGGTATTATGAGGGGACCCCTTGCTGATAAAGCAAGGCTATGTTGAGGGGTATGCAGACAGTATGTATTCCTTAGATTGTAACCACTCTCCACATTGCTTTGCGACACATATTTGTCAAAGTTCTTTCGAACATGATATACACAATTAAAAATATGAAGTGAATATATCGTCATGATTTGGAGAGTTTTGAATAGTTCCCGACAAGAAGTGAGCTTACTACTAAATGTTATTGAATGGATCACTCTTCTGCACAAGTAGCAAATCCGATGTATATGAGATGGTACCCCAGCAAACGTTACATTAATTCATGGCTGACTGTACGTGAGCAAAATAAGTACATCCTAAGCACTTCAGTACTTACAAACTGTCTTAGTTTCCATAACACAAAGCAACGCTTTGATATTTTGTTAACTAAACAGTCAATATGATCCCTCCAAGTAAGCTTGGAATCGATGATAACACCAAGGAATTTAGTGACCTGAACGTCGTTCACCCTGGTTCCGTTAATTTTCAGGTCAATATCACAATCTGTCTCTCGCAAACAAAACAGCATGAGTTGCGTCTTCTGTTCATTAAGTACTGGGCCATTCCTTGCACAGTACCTCTCCATGTGATATGATGGAACTGACAACTCGGTACTGAGCTGAGTTGGATCTTTAGTTTCAATCCCCACCGTGATATCGTCAGCAAATAATGTAACAAACAACAAGAACAATAAAGGCCCTAGTGTGCTTCCTTGCGAAAAACTGGTTAAAACAACCTTGGTGCTAGAAGATAATTTACATCTACCAGTATTAATGACAATTCTTTTTTCCTGTCGGATAGATAACTTTCTATCCAATTTAAGACGGTTTCCTCTGACAACGTAGTTATTAAGCTTTTCGGGTAAAAGAGCATGGTTGACATTGTCGAAAGCACGGCTTAAATCTATAAACATACATCACGGTTTTTCTTTCTTTTCAAGGCAAGTTAAGACAAAGTCACACAAAGACAATACTGCACTTTTTGTTGATAGGTTTTCTGAGATCCAAATTGGTGCCTGTTGATGATATTGAATTTGTCAGCAAATTTTATTAGTTTATTTTAATAAGCCTTTTCACAGAATTTTGCGAATACCGATAATAAAGAAATGTCCCTATTTATCCATGTTGATGTTCAGATTTAACAGAGCTCTCAGAGGTTTTACAACTGAGTCTATTACATTTAATAGGAATGAGCAAGATACTTCATCAAAGCCTGCTGATTTCTTTTTTGCGACATGTTTTAACAGCTCAACAGCTTCATCTTCAGTGACTGGGCTTAAAAAATGGAATTTGGGTTGATGGGAGTTGGTACATGCTGCCCGCTGAAAGTCATAAATTCAGAATTTATAAAGAAATTATTAAACGCGTCCGCAGCTTCCTTGAATGATGTAGAGCAAATATTTCTATCGTTATCAGAAATAATCTCGGTAACTTGTCTTTTTGTATGTTTTGAATTGGCACTGATGATTTGCCAAGCAGTCTCACTCTTATTACTAGACTTAGCAATTTTGTTATCGTAGTAGTACTGTTTTGTTTCCAATTTTATGTTCTTTAATCAGTAGTTTATAGCGTGCAGTCAACTCGGTATCATTATTTATTTTTGTAGCAGAATGTAACTCTCCTAAAAGCTTACTTTCGTCAATCATTACTTTGGTTATCCAGCTATTCTTACAATTTTCATGCTTTTGACTAACATCACAGGAAAGCATCTATCAAAGGTTTGCATGAATATATCATGGAACATAGCAATGAGGCTTGGCAAATTCCAAAGTCTTTGTCGGATAGTACTGAGGATCGTATGCCACAATGAAGTCATCAGAAGATTGAGAAATCTTGAAAAACGAGGTTTGGCATTGCTTAAAAAACGACGACCCTTCATAGGAGTTCCGATTTATGGATTAATTATAGTTTACTACAATCAGGCTATAGTCTTGAAAGGTTGTGAGAGTACATTGAACATCAAACCGAAACATGATTGCCCATTGGGTGGAGCATTCATCCAAAAACCTAAAGTACTCGTATGTAGAAGTTTCAAGTGAAAGAAAAATTGCTTGCTACGTGGAGGCAAAACATCCCTTGCAAATGATGTTTTGACTACAATGATATACTTTTTACAGGTCGCAGTCAGCATGAAGTACTTACACGCTGTACCTGTACTACTTCTTCTGCTAGTAGTCACAGACACATACGCAACAGAAAAAACAGTAAGTTTCCAGACATGCTACATGATGAATGAAATTTTGTATACATATACATAGTCATGCCATAAGTTCTGTCCCTCGTTTTCAAACAAGTGTAGACCTGTTAATACTTGTCCGATTGTTTACATTGTGGTGTCAGTTGATTAAGCGCTTTTCGGGTAATTACATATACCTCAGTTTGTATTGATCTCTCGAAGCATAACGATAGAGTGGGGCAAGGCAGAGAACCGTATTGCAGTGATAGCTTTACATAAGTGTAATCACAGTGCTAGTCAGATTTTTGAACTCTTACGCGGCCTTCAAATATCGCGTAAATTTGTGTCTAGGACCATTCAGCGGTACAATGAGACGTCCTCTGTTGATGACAGGCCAAGAAGCGGAAGACCACGTCAAGTAAGGACTCCAGCAGCCATCAAAGCCGTAAAAGCCAGGATTCAAAGGAATCCACTCCGGAAGCAGAAGATCCTATCCAGGGAAATGAAGATTCCTGTCCGGACGATGTCGCGCATCATTAAACAAGACCTAGGGCTAGGGGCTTACCGGAGACGTACGGGCCAGCGACTTACGGCCACCTTGCGACACATCAGGGCGACAAGATCCAAGAAGCTCTTGGAGAGGTACGCAGCTGAGGGATTCCGAAAGATTTTGTTCACGGATGAGAAAATCTTCACCATAGAAGAAAAATTCAACCGACAAAATAACAAAGTGTATGCAAGGAGTTCACAGGAAGCTTCGGAGATCATTCCGAGAGTTGAGAGAGGCCACCACCCTGCGTCAGTCATGGTTTGGTGGGGGGTGTCCTACGAAGGGGTCACTCAGCTCCATTTCTGTAAACAGGGCGTGAAAACAAAAGCGGCAAACTATCAGAGCGACATACTGGATCCTATCGTCAAGCCTTTAAGTGGTACATTGTTTGCCAACCAACACTGGGTCTACCAGCAGGATTCCGCCCCCGCTCACAAGGCTAAGAGTACGCAGCGCTGGCTGGAAAGCAATGTGCCAGAGTTCATTGCTGCGGAAGATTGGCCCTCAGGGAGTCCGGACCTCAATCCTTTAGACTACAAGTTGTGGGACCTGCTAGAGCAGTTGGCCTGCTCCAAAGCCCACCGTAATATCGAGTCCCTGAAAGCGGATTTGATCCGATCAGCGGCAGCTATTCCTTTGGAAGCTGTGCGTGCAGTGATAGATGAGTGGCCCGCGAGATTGAAGCAGTGTGTGAAGGCCAAGGGGGAACATTTTGAATAAAACTGTTTGATTATGAATTCTAAAAATGTTGTCGAATAAATAATATCTTTCATATAAATATATCTTATCTTGTTTCATTTTTATCATGAGATTATCATGGGACAGAACTTATGGCACGACTACGTAGACATAAGCAATGTAAGACGTGATTAAATTTTTAAGTGCAAACACCATTTATAATATCGCTAGAAATCTCTTTCTTCCGAAAAGATAATGCCCATAACGATATTGCTAGAGCTACAATAGACCATCTCAATAATGTCCAAGTCAGCCTCCTTCCTTGGCCTCCTAGATCTCTAGACATTTCGCCCAGTGAATATGTGTGGGATATGATGGAAAGATAAGTGACCTATAACTTCGTCCTCCACAAACAGTAACAGCTTCTTGAGATACCTCAAGAAGACCTAAATTACTGCGTCAGAGATTGGACGACTACACATTATTCGGAAAATCCAACGATACAGCAAATTTTTTCACTTGAAAATTTTATCAAACCTTCCTGTTGCTGATCTCGAGCTGAATACAAAATGTCATTCAAATAAAATCATTCTTACTGAGGGCTGCATTTTTCTATCACGTTTCAAAATAATTATTTTCAGAAGAAACATAAGAAGTACAGGAGGAAGCCTGCTTCAGCTCCGAACCCAGTAGAAAATGAAGTGAAAATTGAGGAGGATGACGAAAAAGCGGCAGGTATGCCACCTCTAGCAGCTGGTGGGGATATTGTGGAAGACAGTAAAGTTCCTCTGATTGGTAAGTAAAACTGAATACTATCTATGAAACTTTTTAATGTCCAACATGAACATAAACTGAAGACAGAGGAAGAACTTGTCACAAGTAGGTATTTCAAATACTCGTTTTAAGAAGCATGCGAAGTTATAGCATTGATAAACGTATTCACGTGAAAATAGCCAACCTAACGCAACATTCCCGCGCCCAAAAAATTATCCAATACAAAATGAAATACCGAAATCTATGAGAATTTGTCCCAGCTGTTTCTCTAATTTCTATATAAAACTATCGAAAAGTTAGTGTCTCATAGATGGCGCTGTCTATATGAGCATATACAAGCTACAGCTACAGCGCTATCTATGAGATACTAGCCTCTTCAAAGTATATAAATAGAGAAAGCTGTGCCAAATTCTCATAGATGAAACTACGGTATCTCATTTTACCTTTGATAATTTTTTGGACGTGGAAATATCGCGTTAATTTGGCCATCTTTAGGGAGAATCCTTTAATTGCTGGTTATAGATATGTAGATATAATAATGTCTTCATTTATAACTAAGTTATACATGGGCGAAGTTTATCCACAGCTGTCCTTTCACATAGCGCTTAAACATTCCTTGAAATGGTCATTTTTCACTCACTACAAACTCAAAAATCCAGCTCTATTGACATGTGTTTAACCTGTCAATCCTGTCATTAAAGAATCTCAGATCGCAGTACTCCTTAATAATCAGTAATACATCAAAGGGTAGCACCAAATTGGTAGCACACACATAAAGCTTAGGATAATATTCCAAATTAAAGAACCTATTATTTTTATATCCGTGTTCATATGCGCTATAAAAATAAAGTGGTTGTTAAGCAGTTGTTTGAAAAACGCAGACTACTTTTAATTAATACGTATCAGTCATTCAGCGGTTTATATGTGGATAGTTTATTGGATGATGCAACTAACAAATTTGTATTCAATAGCGTCTATAAGCAGGCTGCAGCAGTTCTACAGCGCTAGATGCAAGGATAGCTGTTCATTTTAGTGCGGTCCTCATGGGTTTCAATACAAGAAAAATAATAAGGATGAGTCGGCGTTGTCGTGAAATAAAATCAGGCGTGTGCGAGTGTGAGGCATCATGTAAGAGGTGCTATCGAATAAAGTGCAGCTTTATTTGATGGTAGTAAATCAGCCCACTACCCAACTTAACAGGTCCGCAGGCGTTGCAAGTACATATAATCGCTATTAGATGACCGACGTTTTGTCTCTCAGACAATAAGCAATGTCTGGCAGCACTGGGATCTTACTCACAAGAGCAATAGAAGTTTGAAGGGAGGGGGATTATCAATCTACCGACATTTATTACTGTTTTATTGACGGGTTTTTGAACACTATTCTTGATTTCTTAACCTCCGTCTAAACCTCTAAACTAATCGATATCAAGATTTTGTAAAAACATTTTGACATTACTATCACTTCAAAACCCCCTTGACTATTTTTGCACTGGGCTCTGTGTGGCTTGCACCAACCTTCATAAAAATATCGGTTACCAAAAAATTGATTAAAGACAATATCATCGTTTTTTAAACTTAAATCATGAATGGTGATTTCTTAGAATTTCGTCTGCAGATACGTTTGACGAAACCAATGAATAAATTCTATTTTATTTGGAAGCGACCGCAACATATCAATGATAATCATTTTACCTCCTGCTCCACCGCGGAGGAAGTATTGCAATCGAGAAAAACTTCGAACATAAGATGGTACTATAACTATACCAAGCATAAAGCTTTGTAGTTTTTGAAAATCGATCCAGTGCCGGTGGGGCTGTGGGGCAAAAAGCGAAAAAAAAAAAACGTAAATAGGTCAACATTCGTTTTTTGACGTTCCAGAGGCTCCAGATCATTTAAAAAAAATCGTAGCGGTTAAAAATTGGTGGTTGGGCGTTGTAGGGGGTGGAGAAGGCTAACCCCGGTAAAACTACGCACATATTACATTTACATACAGTTGCTCTCAAAACTTATAATGATAAGAGAAATGTGCGTCTCTGGTCTCTTGCTACCTCTGCTCTGCGATGGATGTCTTCTAACTGACGGGTTACCGCAACATCAATTTGCCACATAGTTGGAGCACTGTCGGTAGAGCAGGGAGCATTTCGATCAATTAATTGTATGGGCATGTTTGACTGGCTTGATCCATTTAATATTTGCTATACATGTTCGTAGATAGAGGAGCTAACTTGTGCTAAATATAGTCCGTTATAAACTGGTGACAGCATTGCGTAGGAAGTGCTGAGTCGACCCACTTGACCCCATTTTTTCTTTCCAGACCCATGCCTGGAGGTACATTGTGGAGCAGGACGCGTTTGTCAAGTAGACGAAACTGGCGAGCCGGACTGCGTGTGTATCCCCAACTGCCCCGTGGAGACAGAGTCCCGACGCAAGGTGTGCTCCAATCACAACGAAACCTGGACCTCGGACTGTGCCATCTATCAACAGCGCTGCCTGTGCGACAAGGGCGATGACAAATGCAAAGGGCCCCAGTACAAGCATGTGCACATTGAGTATTACGGGGAGTGTAGGGATATGCCAGTAAGTAAAAGAATCATTTATTGTTGTTGGATAGTATGCCAACAACTAGAGCACAGTAACTTTTTTCGGATTCGTTCGGACCAGAAATTACGCCAGACTTTGGACTCTGCTATAAGGATTGTAAACTACATCAAGAAGAGTTAATTCTTTTTCTTGAGCTAAAAAAAACACGATTTTTTGACAATGTTCAAAGATGACACATTTCAATGGAGGTTGGCTTATTTAACTGACATATTTGACTCCTTGAATCAGCTAAACTTGAAACTTCAGGGCAGAAACAACACTATAATAAGCAATTATGATTATATTCAGGGGTTCATATCAAAGCCACCGATATGGCACATGACAAGAAATCCATTTGTTGTCGATGTGTCACAATTACCAGAAGAAGTTCAGGAAGAATTTCTAGAAATGAAGGCTTTTTCGTCCATGAAGGATGACTTCCATCTTCTAACATTGGAGACATTTTGTATCCAAAGATTACCTGTTAATTCGATACTTGCCTCTCTTGATTTACGAATACTAGTTCTTTTTTCTTCAACCTACTTATGTGATACAGGATTTTCTGCTGTAGTTTTAATTAAAACTAAAGAGCGAAATCGTCTTGATGTCGATAGCGACCTGATAATAGCTCTGGCAACAACAGAACCTAGAATCAACCAACTGGTACAGAACATGCAATCTCAAGGGTCTCATTAGTACCTACTCCTATTTTATTCAAGTTTTTCGATAAAAAACATTTATGAGTTTATTTAAACTTTTAAAGTTTCTTTATTAGAATTAAAATAAAAGTCTTTGTACCTATATAATGTGCGTTTTTTTGTATTTATTGAAAACGTAAAGGGGGGCATGAACATATAATTTATAGTCCTGGGAGCCTCAACAAAAAAAAAATGTTGGTAAACCCTGCTATAGACTATGAGAATTAGGAGACAAATCCATGACTGGCTCCTTCTACCTCGTCGTTGCCTGACACCAAGTCGACGTCAATCGATGAATTCATAAAAAAGTGATTGCAGAAAAATCTGTTAAATACGGATAGTTTTCAAATTGCTCATACATACTTCAAATACAAATATTTCAGTGAGTTCTTGCAGTAAAACTAGCATGCATCCAGAGTTTGAAAATATTATACATCATGTGGGAAGAAAGTGTTTTTCCAAATAAAATGAACATGTTTGGAAAATACAAGGTATTACATTATACGATCTGAGAGACTGCTGTTTTTGGTGTCGTATTATGATATTAACAAACTCTTTTATAATTATAGGAATGTACCAAAGAAGAAATGGCCGACTTCCCACGCAGGATGCGCGACTGGCTCTTCAACATCATGAGAGATTTGGCAGACCGCCAGGAACTGACTCCACACTATCTGAACCTGGAACGTGAGGCTGAATCAAACATGACACGTCGCTGGACAAATGCCGCAATCTGGAAATTCTGTGAGCTAGATGGACATCCACCAGACAGGTAATTTTTGTAGAAATTCATGAAATACGTCGCAAAAGAACTTCTCGATATAAATAGCCATCACTATTAATCAAAAAGCGACGTTGAGATAATCCGTCCAGCCAACGTACGTCGCTTTTATGCTGAAAGGCAGAAGCCATAGGATAATTTTGTCAGTATGACAGCAGTTTTCAGTATGTTCATTTATGTTGTCAGTGCTATTCCATCACTACTGTCATAGCATAAAATAGCATAAAAGCACTACATTACTGGACTACCTTTCGTTGGCTAAACACTCCCAATGATTTCACATACTTCGAGCTATAAGAGGATATATCTTTTGTTTCTGTAAAAAACCTGCAGACCCTGCCAAAAAGAAAAATGTGTTTGATTATTTGGAGATTGGATGAGGGATCATTCTTGAGAAAATATTTGCAACAATAGCGACAAAGTTACAAAATCAATAGTATAGAGTAGAAAAATAGGAAATATCCAGGACCAATCAAAGTTTAAAATGTAGAAAAATGCAAAACGCACGGATTAATAGAAGTTCGGTTACCAATATTTTGAAATATGAGGAATGAGGGGTTTCTTGATTAACAAAATTATTATCAACCCTGAAAGTGGTGCCAAAACATATAATCAAGCAAGGTTTATTTACATCTAAAGATCCTTTGTTTGTTACTTGGGAATCTGAGTCAGACTTTGATCATGAACTTCATCTGTGTAAATATTATTTTAATTTCAGATCTGTATCTCGTCACGAACTGTTCCCTATTCGAGCTCCATTAATGTCACTGGAACACTGCATTGCTCCATTCCTGGACTCCTGTGACATTGATGATAACCATAGAATCACCATCAAGGAATGGGCCAAATGTTTGGAACTTCAAGAGGTAATTAAACAAATACGAAGCAATTTTTACAAAACCTCAAAACCTTCTTTCAAGGCTATTGCCTTCCCTGGCACCAAAAGAGGTGCGGTATGGAAATGCTGAGGAAATATTCCAACCTCAATACAGCAGAACCTCAAAAACTGAGTATGAAAATGTTGGGAATAGTAGCTGGATTTTTAATTAGCCACTGATTATCCAGAGCAGGCAGAAAATGGTATTGAGTGCACACCAAGCTGCCTGTGTACAGAATGCATAAAATTATAGCATTCATCTTCCCATCTGAGATAGACCAACAGACTATGCAACTGTTTGGAAAAAATGAAATGGTAGAATGAGGGAAATAGTTTAGAGAAATTTCAAGTACATCAAGAACTAATATACCTAATAAGTGTGGTTTGGAGGTGCACAATAAGCCTTATGACCTAGTAGCGACTATAGGAAACTGATTCCTACCACCCCTGCAACAAAACATCTATGTGCCTAACATATTCGTATATTTATTGAACATATCAAAACATAAGTATATTTTAATTTCAGGATGAAATTGAGGACAGGTGTGAGGAGATCACTGAACCTGATGAAGGAGAATAAAATGGAGAATTATCAGTTAGAAATCGATAATATATTGATACCTTATTTTTATATGTTTGTAGATTTTAAGTAAATTGCAGAATAGAATGGTGCTGTACATAAACATAATTGAATAAGATCAGTAGATCACACATTTAAAAGTAGTTATATGCCCTATGCTCATTAGAATGCTGCGAAACAGCCAAGATTACAGTAGAATCATAATTTGTTCGAGTAATGGTCAATTTTATTCTTCCATAGCCTTTCAATTTATGATTACCAGACCATCAATTCAGTTACAGTAAATAACAGAGGCTAAGCATTCCGATGGGTATGCGGTACATGTGCTTAATTAAACATAGTTCTTATTAACTAATTACATTTATAACACTGCCATCACCAATATATATACATTAAGTATATTTTTGTATAGATATTTCAACCCTTATGCGAGTATTTTCTGTAAATAACAATATAAATACATTTTCCTAGAAGCTGTCTATTTATTTACTACAGTAGCACAGTGACTCCAATGGAAGATCAATGCCTGTTTACTGCTGTAGATTTTAAGGTTGGATTATCCAGACCACCGACTATAAAGACTATATATCGTCGGTGATCCAGACCTTCCTGTGAAAACTTTTTTGAAGCAATCTTTCTCTACACAGCAATTTACAATACTACTTGGGCTCAGATATATCCAAGTAAAGTGCTTGGTATGTAATAGGGACAGTATACAACCGATTGGCGCATACTACTACAAAAACAAATTAGGCCTGAGTAAAGACAACATGGCCATGCAAGACGAAGAACTGTTAAAATATATCGAACAAGGCTCTACAAGAGTATCTGAAGCGAAATTTTTGCAAAAGGGCAACACAGTTATAGAAGTATTTATTTACGAGTCATCATTACCTTTTACAGTTTTGTTTATATCTCAGATAGAAGTACAGTTTTCAACAAGATCTTCACACTTCAAGTTTTTGATATGATATTTTCTGTCTGGACTGAAGGCAAGATGATCTTTCACTTAAAGTAACTAAATTCATCTACCTATTTGACATAATGGTTATTTTCTCATAGGGCAATTACCAAATTTCAATTGAAAAAACGGAAAAGTATCAAACATTCAAATACCTAACCACGTTAACGTTGACAAATATTTGAATAACAGGAAATGACAGATAAGATAACATTCAAAAATCACCTTAAATGAATCAAATTCAAGCGGATAACTATTTACCCAACTCAAGAATCAAATCCAAGCGAATAACCAAAATTTCTGTGTTATGTGCCGCGGTTATACCCTCTCCAGACTCACGCGCGAATCACGGCGTGAAATCGCGGCTCGGATCGCGGTGCGAATCCCGAAATTTCTTCCTACAGTTCCACACTCGCAGATGTTCGCGCCTGCTTCACAGTATAGTTCGCGGTCTTGACGAGTATGGATGGTGAAATTGCTACTGCTGCTGCAGTGCTACTTTGCGCTTTGGCATTTTATAATTACGCATATATAAGTAAAACTAGAGCAATTGAAAATAAGTGGAAAAAACACAACCACTCCCGACACTCGCTATGAGGCAACTGAACCACCAGCGAATGTGGAGCCTAGTCATGTTCGCGCCTTGCGAACCCTTTGTCGCGGGACAAAAAACCGACAACAAACGGGGACAACGCGCGAACGCGACGTGAAGCCGCGAAGAATACGCGAATGGGATCCACACTCATGGATCGCGGGTAGTTCGCGGCTTCGCGCGCGAATCGCGCGTGAGTCTGGAGAGGGCACAATAATATGGTTCAAGATGACACACGGGTTGATGACGTTAGTTACACGAATCGCTTGAACGCGTTGGTTTTAACCGCGGTATTGTTGCAAGTTGTTTATTTTAGAAAAGCGCGTATATAATCTCCGATTATTTTTATTATCACTTAATAATCGGTGCTTTTTCGTCTACAACTGTATATGGAAAGTTTAAATAAGAAACCTTTCATAATATTCATGGGAGAAATGTTTTTTCAGATTTTTTTTTTAATGATGGAACCATGGCTTTGTAGCTATGATAACTTTCAGTTCTCTAATTTTTTCCGCATGTCAAAGAAAACATTTATTGATTCAGCAGAAATGATGAAAAAAGAAATTAGCAAAACCGTATACAGGTGGATATCATCTAGTGAGTTTATATGGCCATATTTTAATATTCTTGTGGTATATGGCTACACAGGATACTTTGTTAAGCATAGGAACTACATTTAAAGTGTCCCCAACAACCGTAATGAGTATAACTAATAAAGTGCTCCACTTTATGGTAAAACGGAAGTCAGCCTGTATCATTTTTCCCAAAAATGAAGCTGAAGTACAATAACAATATCCAATACCCGGCAAAATTCTAACTTGTCACATTTCAAATAATAACCAGAAATATAAAACTATCTTCAATATTATAACTGCGGCACATAACACAGAAATTTTGGTTATTCGCTTGGATTTGATTTAACATTTATGACAGGGCTGTAGAGGTGAAAACTTTTGCGGTAGAGCTTCAAAGGCCTAACTTCGAAAGATGTCCTCGAAGAGAGGTCAAAATTCAGACGTACCTGATTAAAAGATGTAACTCAGATTTATATACAGGGTGTTTCAACAACTTATCCGACAAATTTTAACCACATATGCACTGTTACGAAAGAAGTAGATTTCTCAAAAAAAATCCTACAGAAATTAAGTTATAAACCTGAGTTTCAATAATAAATTGAGAAATAAGCAACTGTATTTTGCGTGATATTAGAACACGCATTAATAATTTACTGTAGCAAATGTTGTACCAAACAACTGACGAAAACAAAATACCAGGAATTTTTTGATTTTCGTACTGATAAGAACGTGTAAATGAGGTTTAATCTGTATCGTAGGTGATCTGAATGAAGGAACGGTCGATTTTTGTGAAGTTAAATAAGAAATTATTTTGCGAGTTTATGTTTTTAGTTATTTATTAATAAAAATGGCACATGTGTACACTAATGAGGAGTTTTAGCGTACGGAGAAGCAGGGCAAAATTCTCGTTTGTATGCACATTGATTTCCGAATAGGCACATACCATATCACCAAGCATTTAGTTCAACTGTTTTACGTGCACATGCTAGTGGAAATTTGCGCCCTAGCGTGCATTGCAGTCAATGGAAACAATTTTGAACAGGTTTTATAAGTGAACTGTTAAACTGTATAATTTTATTATCTCGATTTCTGTAGGACTCTTATTACATCTTTTTGAGAAATAAACTTCTTTCGTAACAGTGCATATGTGGTTAAAATTTGCCGGATAAGTTGTGAAACACCCTGTATATATGTTTTATTGCCCAATTGCTGTTAAACTAGCAGATCTTCGCTGGTAATCCGAAACATTAAGTGCCTGTTCCATTCAACACAATAGACTATGCTGGTTGAACACCTTGGTTCAAAAATTAGTAGAATTGACGACTGAAGAATTTTCGATATTGTACGTTGGTCTGCGATACTGCATAATTCTTAAATTAATGGTCCTTGTTCCTTGTGATTGGAATACTCTTCACTCAACCAGTATGTATGCATTCAAACATGCCAAATCGCCCCTGCAACATTGGCAGGGTAGCAGTCCAGTTCTATATACCGGCAATATCGATTTATTTCGCAGGCTTTGTTACCCATCTCTACATACTACTTTATTATTTTTGGAGATTGTTCCCTTTCTATTTTTTACGATAAATATAATGCATCAGATTATTTATAGTGATACACAAGTAAAAAAAATCATTTTAACCTGCAAATATCTGATTTCCAGCTTTTCCCTCCATTATCCACATCTTTTTTTCCACAGAAACCGATGTTAGCGTCACCTTCCGAATCAACCAATCAATAGCTAGCTTCATAAACTAGTTCCCGCTTGCGGCTGCCAGTCACTTTCTTTCGTACGTGCCACGTGACATTAATAGGGATTGCTATTGGCTAAAATCTAGCATTTGGCGGTTCCCTCTCGGTCAACGTTTTATTTTACTTTCCTATTCGTGATATCGTGATTTGTCGTTTGGTGGCTTTGGTAGCATTGTTAGTGAAAAATGGTAAGTTTTGTGGTATTTTTTATAGTTAAAATCAAAAATATGTTGTCAAACCATAGTATAAATGTAGATAATCACCTACAACTATTATTTGGGTGCAGTTTTATAATGTAAACACACGATTTTGTCCTTTTTTAGGCTGGCGGTAAAGCGGGTAAAGATAGCGGAAAAGCCAAAGCCAAGGCGGTTTCTCGTTCGGCTCGAGCTGGATTGCAGGTATGTACATTATTCACATCATTTTATAGGTAAAGCTAGTCAGAGAATCACCAGATATCTTTCAATATTTCAAGGTTTCTCCTAGTATTATAGGTTATGATTGAAAATGTTGCTTGGCGTCACTAATTATCGATTGTGTGGCGTCCTATGTAGTATAAAGTCTTTCATAATATTCGGAGCTGCTGAAACACAGTATCATAATTACTAATGGTCAGATGAGCTATAGTTTTTTCATGTCTTGTCGACAAAAATATGTTAATTTCATACATTGCCACAGAATACGGCGTTGCCTAATTTCCGGGAAGCTCTCGAGTGGAATTTCCTTGATTCTTGGTTTGCTTGAGTACTTTGACCCAATTTCAGTATATTAGGCTTATTCATTGCAAGCAATACATTTCAGTAGGTATACTATATGAGTGTAAAACAGGGATCCTTTTTTTGATTGAAATCTTGCAACTGCAGTTTGGCAACGTTGCATAAGTAGCTTATTTAGATTTTTTACTGGAAGGTATTTGAAGATAATGTTGGACCAGCGAAAGATTGCAAGCCGAAAGAATGCGGACAAAAAATTGCGAAGTTGTCAGATGTTCTACATAAAATGCGGTCCATACATATTAACATATTTAAGATATAGAATTGTTCCGCTGAATTTGGCAATGTAGCTGGAAAACCCAGGCCGCAGGTAAACATCCGGTCGCTGATTGGTCCAAAACTCTTATCTTATCTGAAACTAGAATAACGTGCCGATGGCACGGTCATTTATAAACCTACTCCCATAGGCGTAGGCAGTTGGCAAATACTTTGAAAATATAATTTACTGTTTAGTGGTGATAATGGAATTCAAGCATGGGAAAGTTATTCACAGCCAGGCAAGGGAAATAATAGCAAACGTGATACGTGCTTGCGATGCAGAAGCGGCTAACAATACTTTCGTTTATCCACTGGTAGCTAGAAATGCAAGGGCGGCATATTATACGGGTGTTAGTGAACGAACTATAAGTAAAATTAGAAAAGAAGATAAAGACAGGCAAAATGCAACCTCCACACAGCCTTTAGCTTCTCCCGGAAAAAAGAGATCACGCCCTTCTGTGATCCAAAAAATTGATGGAGTCGATTTTTCCATTATTCGGAGAATGATAGAAAAATTTTACTGTGATTTTAAAGTGGTACCTACTTGTAGTAAACTTCTAATCAAACTGAAGGAAGAAATGGAATTTCCATTTGGTAAAGAATCGTTGAGGCTGCTTTTAAAAGCAAAAGGATTTTACTGGCGTAAATGCCACAACAAAAGGAAATTACTAATGGAAAGACCCAGTATTTTACATTGGCGATACAAGTATCTTAGGTCTATTAAAAAGTTCCGGGAAGAAGGAAGGCATATTATTTATTTGGACGAAACTTGGGTTGATAATGACCTCACTTTCAAGAAATGCTGGCAAAGCGAAGAAATTATGGGTGTCCTGAGCAATATAAGTTCTACAGGTAATAAAGTTTCTTTCACCTCGATTTTGCTTATTATACATTTTTCTCAATTTTGGAATATTCTTAATAAGTGCTCATTTAATTTGTCTAATTGAATACATAATCCCTTGCAAGTATTTTTTTCTCAAAAATATGTTTTTTATACATAGTGATTCAAAAAGGTGTTGGCAAACTTAAAATAACACTAAAATGAGGCTATTTATTCATTTCCAGGACGACTTATAATTGTTCATGCGGGTTCGCAAGATGGTTTTGTTCCTGGAGCCTGTCTCATTTTCAAGGCTGGCTGTGCCACTGGTGATTATCACGGTCAAATGAACCAAGAAAATTTCACGAAGTGGCTTACTGAAAAACTATTTCCTAACATTCCTCCTAATAGTATTATAATAATGGATAATGCACCTTACCATTCAGCTTTGGAAGACAAGCCTCCAACTAGATCTTCTCTAAAAAGAGACATCATCACGTGGTTGAGCAAAAAAGGTATAGAGCATGATCCTAATGCTAAAAAAATGGAGCTTTATGAAATAGCTTGTCTACATAGGCCACCATCTGATGAGAAAAATTATAAGATAGATAATTTAATAAGAAGTTTCGGACACACCCCACTTCGAACGCCACCCTATATGTGTCAGTTTAATCCCATAGAGATGATTTGGGCACAAGTAAAATTTTTCATTAGAAGCCATAATACAAGCGGCGAATTTACTATAAAAAAACTAGATGAAATTTCTAATAAGGCCATCGCTTCAGTAAGTGCCAGTGACTGGCAAAAGGTTATTGGACATGTTATAAAAATTGAAGATGAATATTGGGAAAAAGACAGTCTCATTCAAGAAATACAGGAAGAAATAATAATCAACATAGGAGGTGAAAGTGATAGCAATGACAGTTCCTCAGACAGTGATCATGACTCTAATCAGGATTGAAACTATACTAGATTGGCTACCTTTTAGAATTTTTAGATATTCATTTATTATACTATTGGTTTGTGGCTTTTAGTATCTCAGTAGAAAGTCTAATTCTATGTGTTGTTTATGGGTTATTTCATCAAGAAATTACTTTTTGTTTTCCTATATTTTTCTATTCAGTCAGATATTTTTGACTTGTTGTATTCTATTTTAGAAGAATGCATAATTTGTTTTGCTGTTCAATCATAATGCGTACATAGGAATATTACTTGTTGCCTAAAAAATATATTTATTTTGTTCTCAATATTCAGTGTTTGTGTATATTTATTTCTTATAATGTATGTTTGGTATCACGTCATTATGAATCGCAAAAAAATATTAATACTACCAGTTGTAATAAAATATAAATTCAATTAATAATTCAAGTCTCTCCGATCTCCGCCTATGACTCCATATAAAATCGTCTAATGGTAAGGTTTTTTCATCGCATTTCCCCCTTTCGTCCCTAGCAATCTTTGGCTGGTCGATCAATAGTTAAGTTTTTGCATTTTTGTTGTTGTGATAATGTAGCTCCAGCTAATAGTAGGTTTATAAAAACAAAAACCATTCATTTCTTATGTTTTTTAATACAAGAAAAAGTAACTTCAGCTCCTAAGTCTTAACTGAATCATTTGGTATTATTTATTTACTTTACTTCCTGCAATGAAGCTTAACAATTGAATTTTTATACAACTTATGACAAAAAAATAATGCAATGTAAACAAACAAAAATAACACTATTTCTTCCACTTTAATAAAGCTTAAAAATTAGATTCTCATTAGAACTTTTACCACAAAAATTAAATGCAATTGAAACAAAAACCAATTCGTCTATGAAACTTCCATCAGTCTTTAACTTAATGTTTAGATAATCATCATCTTGAATAAAACTAAAAAATATAATGCATAATCAAACCAAAGCTATATTCTCATACAATAAACTATAAATATAGTGTAAACAAGCAAACAAAAATTACAGACTCTGAAACAAAAAATAATTCTCTCTTAAAAATAACAATTAAGTTATGTCGCCTTGTCTCCTTCAAGTTGCCTTGTATAATGCTGAACACCAGGAAACAGTTTCCTTGTTCACTTTCTACCAAGTTGAAAGGTCAACGTCATTTGAAACGCGTTTTTCCAATGAGTATTATGTAGTATTAAGCATAAGCAGTATGTCTTCTTCTTCACTGTGGTTTGCATCTATTAATAAATTCATTGTTTACTTCAAAGATACTCGTTTTTTTATTTGGGTGTCTTTGGTTTCAGTTTCAAATACAAACAAAACGCACTTCATTTGAAAGAGACTGCCATAGATAATTATTGGCGCCAGAACACTGAATATTCGCATTCACGAATCTCGGTAGCAGATATTTGCATTCGCATTCGCGAATGTTCAATAAATGACAGTCATTACATCACTAGTTCTAGTAGATGTATTATTGAGCCTAACAAATAATTTCCAATTCTCACATGCATGAATTGTTCTATGAATCTAATCATATTCTATATTTTCCACATACTGGGTATCTACATATTGCATGGATGATTCATGAACAAACTTTCTTACTTGGCTAATATTGCATTATTGGATATTGTTTGAAGTTTGAAGGTATAATATTTTATTGAATTTCAAACCAAATGTTCCTGTAGTTTCCAGTAGGAAGAATCCACAGACATCTCAAGAACAGGACGACCAGCCATGGGCGTGTAGGAGCTACAGCAGCTGTCTACTCAGCAGCCATCCTTGAGTACTTGACTGCTGAGGTGAGTCAAACCATCTGCATATAATACTTTAATAACATATAATTTTTGATAAAGTTATTATAATTATTATGATAAAGTTAATATAATTGAAAAAATAGAGAGTATAATACCTCAAAACTCCACCCCCTGTTTTTCAGTCATTTTGGTGAAGTAAATTTGCAGCAGTCTTTCTTCCGCTTGTGGATATGGGGAACTTACATAGTGGGTGATAAAGTGCCTAGAAGAAATTGGGAAAGCAATGCATTGATTTGAGTAGGGATAAGGCTCATTTGACCTACTAAGTATATTTGAATTAAAGTATTTTCGGGAGTGCTAGAAAATTGATTCTCAGAGTGGGCAGTAGAATATCAGTTTGAAACTTTGATTTACAGTAACTCAATAGGTCTATCAGTACTCTGAAGAAAACAAGTGAAGCATCAAGGCCCGTTTTATTTTTTCAGGTCAATTAGGTTTTGTTACTGAATTGAGAACTGTAGTTTTATAGCTCAGAGCCTGTAGAAAAATCTAAGGCTGCAATGAAATCGACTGCTTAATAAATATGTTTTAGCCTGTATTATGATATTCAAGGGTTTAGAGTAAGATGGATTATAATAGTTAAACATAATGGTTAGAACCTCATTTTTTATTCCATTTCTTTTTATTGTACTTGTCTCTTCACCATGCTCTTTTGTGGTCGCACACCCCTTTTTTTCAACAGTCCGAGGGAATATCTTAATACCCTTAGTATGATTGTTTTTTTCTGTGTATAGAGATGGTTTCAAAACAATATTGTTTTCTCATATGCATCTTTTTAAAAATCATAACTGGTTAATAAATAAGATTACAGGTCTGAAATTGTAGGAGAATATTCCTCATTTATAGTAGAATGTTGCAATTACTTTTTTTCTTATCGTTTTTCATCTTCTTAAAGAAGGCTTGCTTTTCTCTCATCAAAAAACTTTTTGTACACTAATCTCTATATATAAAACTGAATCTTCTTCCACTCTGCACACTTGAAATTAGGCAGTTTCCTATAGTAAAAAATACTGCTAGTTTCATTTGCATATAATAGTAACTGGTATATTCCATAAATCTGATAGAATTGTGTCGATGCCAAGACGATATTTATTTTTCCCCGTCATTTTAGAGGCCCGTTTGTTGTTTGTCTCTGTGTGTAAATACCATGATGGAAAGTGATCGACAATTTTGTTCAATATCGAGGGCTATGCTATACATTTTGAGATTCACGAAAACTAAAAACTCTTTTTCGAAAACTATGTAGTTTGTTTATGTTTAAGGTATTCTCCTCCTCCAGCATCAATGCACTTCTGTAACCTGACCTTCCACAAATGAAATTCTTCTAGCTAGTCAGTTTTTGGATTGCCTTCAACAAACTGATGAATTGCTTGATCGATTTCCTCTTCGGACGAAAATTTTCGACCACGCAGATTTTTTTTTCAAATTCCTGAAGCCCCAGAAATCACAGTTTGCCAAATCTGGCGCATAAGGCGGATGTTCTAGAATTTTGAAGTAGCGCTGGCTTAAAAAGTCTACAGTTAGTTGGGCAGTGTGGCTAGAGGCATTGTCGTGATGCAGGATTATACCTCTGCAACAACTTTTTTTGAACGAAGATGATCATGCAAAATGGAGAGCACTGCTGCGTATCCTACCCCAAGAGTTGCCTCTATAGTCGCATATATGTATGCAGCGAGAATCTTCTTCAATTAGCCAGTGCACTTTAGCTATTTTAAATTCGGCATACCAGCGAAATACACTTACTCGGGACGGAGCTTCATTACCAAATGCCTGTTGTAACCGGTCTATTCATTGATGTTCAGTTAAACCGACTTTGAGCCCATGGTAAATCATAGCATGATAACTCTCGAGACAACTCCATGTTTCCTCTTAAATTTGTTTAGATCACTTGCACTGTAAGATGCTTGCAAATGAACTGAATGCGGCGACTTACTAATAAAGGACTGCTCTTTCTAATAGTGCACGGTTACCGGTTTTAACTAGTAAAGTTAATGCTCATCTTAAAATATACATATCTTATACCATCTTTTTTTTCAAAAGGTACTGGAGTTGGCAGGCAATGCCAGTAAAGATCTGAAGGTGAAGCGTATTACTCCCCGTCACTTGCAGCTCGCTATCAGAGGAGACGAAGAGTTGGACAGCCTGATCAAGGCCACCATTGCTGGTGGTGGTGTCATCCCCCACATTCACAAATCCCTTATTGGCAAGAAGGGTGCACATTCACAACCTGCCTAAGATTTTAATTTTTAGTTTGTGTTATTTCTAAGACTTGTATGATAATATTACAATCCATGTGTCGATGATGTGTTTTAATATTGTTGGGCACATTTACTGTGAGGCGATGCAGTTGTTGGATCTTTGCAATCCAAAAGATGTGTAACTTTTAAACAAATTTTCAGAATTTAGGTAACTGCGGTTACATAGTTTAATTCAGTTAATGTGTAATTTTTTAATGTGCCTTGTTCAAGTAACTTTTTTCTTTCAGTATGTTTAGTTCAATTGCATATGTTTGATGTATGTAGTTTGTGTTCATTTCTTAAAGTAAATAAATGATTTTCTTAATATATGCATTGTTATATTGCTCCAAAAAAATCCTATATATAGTATCTTAATGTCTATGATAATATTAGTTGAGACATTTAAGGGACACGCACAAGCTTGCTTCTGTTGTTTTCCTGTTTCTTTACCATACTAAACTGTACGCTTTTATATTCAGTTTACAATATTATCATTATTCTTGATAAATAAACTCAACTTTACAAACGTTTTAGATTTGAGGAAAAGCTTCAAATATATGTGGCCTGTAAAAATTATATATGTACATAATGTTGAGGGTTCATTTACTCAAAATATTAAACATTTTTGGAGTTTCATACTCAAAAAAATCGCAGATTCCTCGTGGAATGAAGTTGAATGACGCCTCGCTGAGCGATCCTTCAAGAACTTGATAAATTTGCAGACTTTTTTCAGTTTTTAAAATTAAAATGAGGTTGGTTCATCCAAAAAACTCAAAAATCAAGTAACTGCCGGCCCATACATCCCCTGTTTATAGTCTTCAACATTGTATTCAGGTTTTTGTTAAACCATTAAAAATTTTCAGTCTCACTACATCCACCAATATAATTACTGATATTTGGAAACATTTTAGAGTGACACCTATTTTCAAATCATGGGACACTGATATTAAGATTTATAGAGGCGTCGCAATATTGTCAAACTTCTCCAAATTGCTGGAGTTCAAATTTCATAATAGAATTAATTCCAAATGTCCATATATCTCTGTCCCATTTGTTTCCAGCATGTGTTTCTTACTAATAGATCCACACTAATTGAACAGATCTTAACCCAGTTTGCTATTGAATTTGTCAATCGAAGGTACAGGGTGGCCGATATGTAACTGACTGGCCTGTATCTTGAATATTTGTGAAATAAGTCTATTTTTCTCATCTTAATCTTTTATTGAAACTTAGAAATTACGCATGAAAAATAATATCAGACAAATCTTCGCCTCTAGAAGCTGGGTAAACCTGAGCCATCTTGACTACATTTTCCATTATTTTTTGGTAGGGTTCGGGAGCAGTATTTTCAATCGCTCCCGTAATATTGTTCTTTACCTGCTCTGCAATATTTAGTTTGTTGGCATGAACCCTATTTTTTAAAAATCCCCATAAAAAAGTCAGGAGCCGCTAAATCCGGTGACCTTGGTGGCCAGTCCACCAAATCGGGATATTAAACGTCAATTTAAATCAGTCATTTATATATTGGCCAACCTGTATATTGTACTGATTTTGCTAAAGCATTCATCAGCTTTAACGCTTATTATATATTATGAAAGAAAGCAGTATGTAACTTTCAATGGCAATTCCTGCCTGTATCTAGCAAAATTAGTATTGTATATTCAGCATATTATATTAGACCTAAATTGGAATATGCGTCGTGAATTTAGAACCCAATTTACAACTATATTGATTCTCTTGAGCCTGTTCAGAGATTTCTCAAATTCTTATTTTTTAAGGTTGATGGTGCATATCCTGAGCAGGGTATATCTGACAGTTCATTGTTATCTTCTAAGTTTCGAATGTCGTCATTACAAAAAAGAAGGAAGTGTGCGTCATTGAATCGTCGGACATCTGACAATACCTGCTATATGCAGGAACCGTAATTTTACAGGGGACGAAAAAAACCTTATCAATTTTATACTACCGGCATTAAGACAACTTAGGTCACAAAAAATAAATGACGTTTAACACATATTTAATGCGTTTTTATCTAAATGAAGCGCTAATTGACAAAATTAGTGCAGATAGCTGATATCTCTGCTATCTTTGCTGTTAGCAGATATTGTACTATGATGCATAGATGGATTTAGTGAGATTCGTATTAGAAAAACTGTTATTCATTATATCAAATTAAAAGTTTAATGCTTATACAAATCAAAAATATAATAGCATGTGTTCTCAGTTACACCTTAAATGAACGTTCAGCTTCTTTCCTTGACATATGGCAAACTGTCGTAAAACATGTCACAGTCCTTAGATATAACACTTATAATGTGAAATGACAGGTAGCTGTTTAGGTCTCATAGGGAACTCCTGAGGCTCTACACTTAAGTCTAGTTTCACTTAAATTTTTCCATCGGGATTATAACATATTACTTTGATGTCCGTGACTACATTGCCCCTGCCTGGTCTAATTGTTGAGTATCGCTGCACCTCTGTTCGAGAGTAGTCCTTGAAGAAGTCTTAACTCAATTGGATCACCTCATATGGCTCTGGTTTTGCCCTAGCTTCTTTTGACGCCTTAACATAGTCATTTGGTAATTCAATAACTCTGTTTCTCAGTTTTCTTTAAATGCAACTGTGTACAGAGTCACATTGCATTTGGGTGTGCTCTTTGGTGAGATATTTCTGAGAAATCACAACATCGTGTTTCATTGCAAAGTTAAGAAAAATAGCACGCGTTATTGTCAGATAGCTGGAATTGCCGCTCATTGACAGACGTGTTGCCAGCGGTAGGTATTGTTTTGGCTGAATAATTCAAAAACTAAATTTTTCTGCAGTCCGCGGACTATCACAATGTGCCCTGTAGGTAGACGAAAAAAATGTGCATATACCTCAAATTGGGCAAAAATGTCAGATAGCAGGTATTGTCAGATGTCCGGCGTGATATTATTACTGTATAACCTATTTTTGAAAATTTTCAAAATCGTTATCTATCAAAAATCTATTGATCACGCCTAAAAATTTTCAGATAGTCGTAAGGCATACAGAAACAGAGTTTAGAAAGGTTCTGAATCTTTTTTATAATAGCGCTGTCATTTTAACGATTTTCTAAGATGAAATTAACTTACATACCTACTAATGACCTCTCACCCTGCTGCTCGCCAAATTTCATCAAAAGTCGGTGCAGCCGTTTCTGAGAGTCCAAGAGTAAAATAAGCCAACACACAGGCCGACCGACAGACAGACCGGCGGAAGTATGTCATATGGATTTACATGTTATAGACATCACAAAACAAAAGACTAAATTCTAATATACTAAGTGACATATAAATCCGAACACCCAGTTTAAATGGTTTTATTTTAATAAAATTTTGTATAAGTACTTAATGAAGCATAATAAGTAAATGATAAAAATTTCAAAATGATTGCACTGCTTTAAAGCCCTTTGACCGTTAATAATATGTGGATACACCCTGATGTGTTACGCATTCTCCAACGCGCCTAGGCATGCTTCTGATCAGGTGGTCAATGTCCTCCTGTGGTATCTCATTCCAGGCAACCACCAACTCCTCTCGAAGTGCTTCTAGAGTCTGAGGAGGACGTTGCAAATTGAGCAATCTCCTACCCATCATATCCCACACGTGCTCAATTGGGGATAAGTCGGGAGATCTTGGTGGCCATGGTAACAATGTGACATCATTATGTTGAAAAAAGTCTATTGTGACTCTTGCAACATGTGGTCGGGCATTATCTTGTTGGAAAGTTGGATCTGTCAGGGTGTCAAGATAGGGTAAAAGATGGGGTTCTAGAACTTCGGGGATATAACGCTGCACGTTCATGTTACCTCTGATGAAGATTAAAGGTGACCTGGAACCATAAGCTATAGCACCCCAAACCATAACTCCAACAGTGTGATGAACATGTCTTTCAACAAAAAACTGTGGATTCCTCCTTTCACCACGTCGCCTTCTAACCCTGCCACGACCATCGTGCATGCCTAAACAAAATCGAGACTCGTCACTTAAGACAATACTGTTCCATTCCTGATCCCAGAGTGACCGTTGTCTGCACCACTCAAGGCGATTACTTCGGTGTTCTCGAGTTAAAGGGAGGACCCAGTGTGGCCGGTATGAAAACAAGCCAAAACTTCTCATTCGTCGGTAAACACTTCGCATGCCAATAGGTCTTCCGTGTTCTGCAAACCATTCATTTGCAATGGACCTGGTAGTGGAGAAACGGTCCCTTAAGGCCAATAATCTTAGGCGGCGATCTTCACGGTCTGTTGTTCTACGGCGGCGTCCAGTGCCCCTTGCTCTTTGCGTACGGCCTTCTCGAAGCCATGCCTGACAACACTTAACCACAGTGTCTACACTTCTTTGCACTCTAACTGCAATTGCCCGAAAATAAAGTCCAGCTTCCCGAAGTCCCACTATACGGCCCCTATCAAACTCATAAGTTGACGAAATCGTACAGGTCTCCGTACTCTAGGCATCGTAACCGATCGTAAAGGATGTCAAGAACCAAAATCCGCCAACGTTGATTCTTTACTGCGGCTGAAATATTCATTTTTAGAGCGTTAGTGAATTAAAAAAAAAACAGTATAAAAACCGGAATGTCCAACTGGTAAGGCTGAAAATTTTTTCACTTGTTATTTACAGTAAGATAAATACATTCACCAACTTTTATTAAAATAAAACCATTTAAACTGGGTGTTCGGATTTATATGTCACTTAGTATATTTTGGCGGTGAAACAACCTGTCTCCCTTACAATGAGAAGGTTAAGGACCAGAAAAGCGTACCTATATTTATTGCTTGCGCTTCTTGAAATTTTAGGTGTAAAGATTAATACTTAGTTAATACTATTTACTTTACGTCATTCAATGCAGGCGCTTTGTTTCTTTTTGTCGAATTTTACCCCTCAGAAGCAAGCTACGTCACTTTCATTGATCAACGTATTCTATCTGAAGATAGCCAAACTAATGCTATATTACCGCGCCCAAACACTTAACAAACAAGTTAATTATTAGAGAAATTGAAAAATCTTCCGACCGTCAAGTGAATCTCGTGTTGATACTATTCACCTCGATGAAACTTCCTATTGGGGGTTAAGAATCATACAGCGAAGTGTGCCCAACTTTTGAACTATTTGGTCGATTTTCATTAAAATACCGATTAATTACCGGTTAATTAAATTAATTGCAAATATATACAAAAAATAAGGACTACCATACCAAAAAAAGGCCTTAGTAAAGGGTTAACTGTTTTTGAGATATTAATTTTTTCTCTGTGTTAATCTTTTGTTGCTATGCCTAGAAATAACAAGATATCTGTTTGTTTTTTCTA